TGCGGATCCAGAAGGGTAGGGGATCTGGGGTGGGTGGGAGTTGGGGCCAGGGGTCGGAGGTCATGGCCTAGGAGGGTCCCACACGCGAGGCTTTCTGCGGGGGACTTGGGATATTCGGGAGGCCTGACGCCTAGTATTAGGAACCCGGAATTGGAGGCTCGTCAGGTGGATGGGGCGCGGGCGATATGAGAGTCGGGTCAGACAGGACCCTGGGTTTGGGGTTACAGACCAAGAAGAGAGGGACAATGGGGACAAGGGATCGGGCATACGAGTGAGTGAGGATTCAGTGTCGCCGTGGATCTGACTCACACAGGGCGGAGCTGCAGGACCCGGGACTCGTCGTCTCAGACGGCGGTTCTGGGTGTCGGGTGTGGAAGGGAACTGGAGGTGCCGGGGAGGGGTGGTTTCATTTCGGGCCGGGAGTCTCAGTTGGCGGGGGCACTGGACTCTTGTGAGTGGAGGTCAGATCAGAACCTGGGTTTAGGATAACAAGCAGAGAAGAGTGGTAGCGGGGACTGATTTAGGGTATGGGGGACAGAGCAGTGTCCTTAAGCTTGGAGGGTTAGATTGATACTATCTGGTAGAGGCAGGGCCAGCATGGGGTTTGGAGTGGTCAGAGGTAGTTGAAGGCCAGGGCTTTGGGAGTGGGGGCTACATGAGAGGGGAGTCACTTGGGAACTGGATTGCAAGGACTTAGGACAGTAGGTTTAAGATTGGACTTCAGCCTGTGCCACGCAGGAGCTGAGCCACACAGCCTCAATTCAGTGTGCATATTTGGAATGTCTTGTGGATCCAAAAGAGCCTATCTGGAGACTAGAAGTAGGGAGAAGGCTGGAAGTATAGGGCACAACCCAGGACGGAGCCCCAGGGCTCCTGGAAGAAGCCATGGGGCTCTGCTGACACCCACCCTGAGCATTCGCTGTCTCTTTTTTCTTTGCTGCCCAAACCCCAGATATAAACGAGCTGAACCTGCCCAAGACGTGTGACATCAGCTTCTCAGACCCAGACGATCTCCTCAACTTCAAGTTGGTCATCTGCCCTGATGAGGTGATAGCCTAAGATTGGCCCCTCCAAGGAGAGGGAGACTTGGTCAGCCATCAGGCCTTGTGGGGATGGACCCCTAACCTTCTCTCCTTTCCTCCCAGGGCTTCTATAAGAGCGGGAAATTTGTGTTCAGTTTTAAGGTGAGTACCAAGTGGGCAGGGATAGCTCTCTGAACTGAAGAGGCAATAGCTACCGCCCTGCCGGGCACCTACCCACCTCCCATCTCTTCTCTTGGAGCCAGGTGGGCCAGGGCTACCCTCATGACCCCCCCAAGGTGAAATGTGAGACGATGGTCTATCATCCCAACATTGACCTCGAGGGCAATGTCTGCCTCAACATCCTCAGGTGAGGACACTGGCCCTCCACTGTCCGCCCCAGCCTGCCCACTGGGCCCCTCTCGTGGCTTTCTGGGTACTGTACAGTCTCTGTCCCTTCACTCCTTGTGGCCTGTATTCCTCTTTTCCTTTACTTCCGAATCATCTTCCTCCTGGTCTGACCGTGGCTTTTCCCTGGCCTGTCCTATTCCATACCCTCCACCCAGTTTCTCACTCTCGTGTGCCCTGGACCTGACCTGTCACTCACCAGCCCCTGACTTCGATGCTTTCTGCCCACAGAGAGGACTGGAAGCCAGTCCTTACGATAAACTCCATAATTTATGGTCTGCAGTATCTCTTCTTGGTGAGTACAGGTGGGTGCTTGGGGATAGGGAGGTTGGCCTCCTGCCCCTCTGGCCTGTTGACCCCCTACCTGTACCGGTCACAGGAACCCAACCCTGAGGACCCACTGAACAAGGAGGCTGCCGAAGTCCTGCAGAACAACCGGCGGCTGTTTGAGCAGAATGTGCAGCGCTCCATGCGGGGTGGCTACATCGGTTCCACCTACTTCGAGCGCTGCCTGAAATAGGGTTGTTGTATATCCACCCCTTCCAGGGTTACCAGCCCTGGCACCCCCTGCAAATATTTATTGGGGGCCACAGGTCAGGGGTGGGGGTGGGGCCAGTGGGGGAATTCCCTGCCTTGGCCTCGCTTCTCCCTGCCACCTGCCCCTAGTTATTTTTTTTTTAACCACCATGTGATTAAGGTCGGGTATTACCTCCCCTGACCTGCTCAGCGATGGGAAATGAATTGGCTTATGTAGCCCCCTGCTGGGTGCTGTCTAGTCCTCCACTCTGGGCTGTGGGGTGGGTGGGTGAGGGGTCTGGGTAGCTGGGCCTAGGCAACCCACTCCTTCACCACCGGAGGTCCCACCAGGCTATTAAAGGGGAATGTTACTGCATGGCCTCTGCCTCTTCCTTCTATGGGACGGGTGGGACAGGTGAGGTCCAAGACGGGTCCTGAAGCAGGGTCAGTGGGAAATGTGTGGTCACAGGTGGCATTGGGGCATCCTCCATACAAGTCCAGGCCCAGTGCCTGGGGGTGACCTTAGCCTCAGTTAAGATCAAGCACACTCCGGAATGAGGACAGGCTTCCCGGCCAGCATAGGGAAAAGTACATGTCATTTCCCTCTCTGCCCTGGTGGGCCCGTCCGTGGAGACGACTTGCTGGCAGCACCAGGCAAAAGGATTCTTCAGATGAGCTGGGGGCCTCAGAGGGGTGACATGGTTGGATACATAGCCTCTGGAGTGGCTAAAACGGGGGCAGCCAGAGGGGCACCGCCTCAGCTGCGTCTGCGCCCCTGGTCTAGCCTCGCGCGTGCAGGCTCCGCTACAGCCTGTAGGGCACCGTCGGGCCTTCTGCAGAGACACAGTCGGTGCGCATGCGCAAGGTGCCTGCTTTCCAGGACTTGTGCGCACGCGCAGCCCCGCCGTCTCCCAGCATTCCGGGTGCGGGCGGGGCGTGTGACGTTTGGTTGTCTAATCCGGAAACGGCGGCGGCGGCAGAACCGAGGGTCGGTTGGTGGGTGTGCGCCGCGGAGCCGAGCAAGAGTTGTGACCCGGAAGCGGAAGCAACCCCCCATCCCAGCTCCGGTGAGTGGCCCCTGTGGTCCGCGGGGCGAGCGGGCGGTGTTGTAAGCGGGCTCCTCGGCCGCGCGTCCAGCGTCGCGCTTCGCCCTCGGTGTACAGGACGCCTGTGCTTGGCCCTCGGGCTCCGCCCATGCCGTCTTCCCTGACGGGCCGGCTTTCTGTGCCCGAAACCCCAAACGCCCCACTGCCCACCCGCAGCTTCAGCGCAGGACGCCCGCGCCTCATCCCTCGGTCTAGAGAAGCTGAGCCCCACTCCCGCAGCTCCGGGAAGGAGTGCGCGCCGGGAGCAGCTCAGGCCACTGCATGGCCTGGCTTTCCCGCTGCCTGCAGGCAGCCTCGGTGTTCCCAGGTTCTACCTCTCGGCAGCATTCATGCCTCCCGTCCCTACGTGTCCCTTCTCATCTTGGAAGCCCCGTCCCTGTGACTCCACTCTGCTTCTTGCCCTTCGTTCCCCAGGCCCTTACATCTCGGCCTATCTGCCCCAGGCCTGCCAGCAGCCAGTGGCCGCCTACCACTATGGACCTGTTGTTTGGGCGCCGGAAGACGCCAGAGGAGCTACTGCGGCAGAACCAGCGAGCCCTGAACCGTGCCATGCGGGAGCTGGACCGTGAGCGACAGAAGCTAGAGACCCAGGAGAAGAAAATTATTGCAGACATCAAGAAGATGGCCAAACAGGGCCAGATGGTGAGTGTGGATGGTCAAGGGCTCTGAACAGATTTAAGGATCTGAAAAGGCCACATCCAAAGAATTGATCATTAGAGCCAAGGCTTGAGGGACTAGGAGAGGGAACCTGCCTGGGAAAGACACTGGCAGGTGGAGCAGCAGATGTTAAGTGAGCACCTCCACAAGTGGGGTGCCACAGGTGAGCCCGGGGTGGGCGTGGGCCAGACCACTCAGCACTGCAGGCCACAACAGGGAAACAAAACAAGTAGGGTAGGGCATGGAGCAAGGTGCAGACCAGGGTTTGTCTGCACAGCCAAGGAGGTGCCCTTTCTTGGGTCAGGCAAGGATGTTTAGGGACAAATTCAAAGTGGCCCCTGGGGTAGGTTTGTATGCAACTCTTAAGTCTGAGCTTGTGGGTTTGTGTCAGGTGGAGGCAGATTGTTCTATCCAGAGAGGAGACGGAAATTGAGGATGAGGGGCTAGCCCATGGTGGGGTAATGAACACAGTTGTATCCCACGTGGTCAAGTGCAGTGGCAGGTGTGTGTGTTCCCCAGGGAAAGACGAGACGGGACTGTGGTGTGACCATGCCCCAAGGGAGTGCTCTCTTTCCCCCTCCAAACCAGTGGTTGCATTCCCTGGCAAAAAAAAAAAAAAAAAAAAAAGAGAGAGAGAGAGAAAGGGAATGAGTGTTGTACATCAAGGGAGTACCTCTAAAAATGGAAAAGAAAATGGAACCAGCAGCAGTTAGTGTAATGGCTATGTTGCTGGACTCCCATGTAGTCAACCGCGGTTGGTGTCCTGGACTCAGTGTTGTGCATGCATGCCCAAGATCCCAAAAGAATAGAGAAGGGATTGCAGCGTGGCCATCCCCCCTGGGGGGTGATTTCTCGCTTTCTGCCTGTCTGGCAAGCGCATGCGCCCTATAGCAAAAATCTCTTTAAAAAAATGGAGGGAACCAGCACTTGCGTAATGGCTATGTTGCTGGACTCCCACATGGTCAACCGCGGTTCACGTCCTGGACCCAGTGGCTTAAAACTCACACCTGGCACATGTGCGTGCATGCCCAAGATCCCGAGAGGAGAATGGAGAAGGGATTGCGGCATGACCATCCCCCCTGGGGGAGTGATTTCTCGCTTTCTGTCTCTGTCTCTGTCTGGCGAGCGCACGCGCCCTATAGCAAAAATCTCTCCAAAAAAATGGAAAGTTCCTAAAAAGCGAGGCCAGACTTTCCTTTCCACATGTAGAGAACAAAAGTGAAGAGGGACTTATGAAGGAGCCTGGAGGGTGGGGACCTTAACTGGAAAGGTCATGTAAGCTAACCAGTCACAGCTGTTGACAGTACTGAGGGCTGCAGAGTCCAGCATGTGCCTGTGGCTCCATCTTGATACCTGGTACACTCCACAGGATGCTGTGCGCATCATGGCCAAAGACCTGGTGCGCACCAGGCGCTACGTACGCAAGTTTGTGTTGATGCGGGCCAACATCCAGGCCGTGTCCCTCAAGATCCAGACGCTCAAGTCCAACAACTCGATGGCACAAGCCATGAAGGGCGTCACCAAGGCCATGGGCACCATGAACAGACAGGTGCGCCTCTCCCAATTCCCTTTCCTACCCTTGGTAACCTGTGCGGGCCAGACTCACCCTTCCCCCACTTCCAGCTGAAATTGCCCCAGATCCAGAAGATCATGATGGAGTTTGAGCGGCAGGCAGAGATCATGGACATGAAGGAGGAGATGATGAATGATGCCATCGATGATGCCATGGGTGACGAGGAAGACGAAGAGGAGAGGTGCGGGGAGAACGAGGGGGGGTGTTTAACTGGCCCTCTGCCACACCTGTCCTCACTGAGCTCCTCTTCTCTGCAGTGATGCTGTTGTGTCCCAGGTCCTGGATGAACTGGGGCTGAGCCTAACAGATGAACTATCAAGTGAGTTCTTCAAACCCTGGGTACTTCCCACCCAAGGCCCACCTAAACCCTTGGGCTGGCCCTCCCTGATTTATTCCTTCCCACTGAGCCTGGCTCTCCCTGCAGACCTCCCCTCCACTGGAGGCTCACTCAGTGTGGCTGCTGGTGGTAAGAAAGCAGAGGCTGCAGCCTCTGCTCTAGCTGATGCTGATGCAGACCTGGAGGAGCGGCTTAAGAACCTGCGGAGGGACTGACCTACTCCCTCTTTGCCAATCCAGGGTGTCCAGTGGGTGCCCATGGTCTTTACTATGTTCCCTCTGTAATAAAGAAATTAATCACTAGTTCCTGGGCTTAATTTGATTACTAAGGCCCCCAGGGGCTAAAGGCCAAACTGGATGAACTTGAGACAGAATGGGCAAGTTAGACCCACCTGGGATATTTAGGGCTCAAGCAGTCAGCTCAGTCCATACTCCCAACAAACTTTCCCGGTCCCTGTCCACTCCCACGACTGCACACACACTGAATGCTGGTGGTACACCAGCCCAGGCCCCAGCTGATGTCCAGATCCCACCAGAGCTCAGGGGGAGAATAGCTAAGTCACAGGAAAAGATGAACAGTGGCATGGGACCAGCAGATAGCATAATGGCTGGACTCCCATGTAGTCAACCGTGGTTCGAGTCCTAGACCCAGTGACTTAAGTGTGCCCAAGACACAGAGGAGAATGAAAAAGGGATTGCCGTGTGGCTATCCCCCCAGGGGGTGATTTTCTCGCTTTGTCTCTCTGGCTAGTGCACACGCCCTACAGCAAAAATCTCTCCAAAAAAAAAAAAGACGAACAGTGGTGTCCCCTCAGCAAGGAAGACTAGACCAGGAACAGACATCTACCTGGGAGGTCTTGACCCAGTTCCCTGGGACATTCCTCATAAGAAATAGCCCTATAAACCAGTGATGCTGGACACACAGGAAGAGATCCTGGATTTGTGTCCTAAGGTCACTCTGCACAAAGTAGGTCTGTGTGCATTAAAGTTGGAGGTCAATAACAGCATGAAGGCCCACCCAGTGCCTCTTCCTAGCTCATGGGGGATGTGAATTCTAAAAAGCCCCAGGTTGGGGACACCACCAGATGGCATAGCAATTATGTTGCCAGATTCTCGGCTGGCCAGTGGCTCGAAAAGAATGGATTGTGGCACTGTCAATCATGAACACACCCTATGGCAAAAATTCAAAAATATTAAAAGGAAGCCTGCCCTGGAAGTTAAGGAGAAGAGATGTTACCATGAGGTTCAAATCCCAACCACAGTAGATTGAGAACATGCCAGACACATGTACAATGGGGAAATAAAGGGATTGTGTCATGACCATCTTCCAGGGGAGAGGGCCACTAGGAGCGGGCTGGTTCCGTCTCTCCAGGTCAGGCAAATGACTGGAAACAAGCCCCAAAGCCAAGGAAACACTGATGGCCGTGACCGTGTGCACACTTGGTGCCTTACCCTGTCTACCCAGGGTGCCATGTCAGTCAACACCTAGAGTGCACCCTTTGCCACACGTAACCTCAACACCAATAAAGGCCAGAGAGGTCCTACCCCAGAACCACCAGCACTTGGTGTGAGTAGATCTTGGCACACACCAGGTCCCACAACCACAGCCTCCCACCAGCCAAGGCCTGAGGAACTGGTGAAATTTTTATTAAATCCACAGAAGTAAAAACCATATTGTGAGGGACTAGGGCATGGACCACCAAGGAGTGGGCAATCAGGCCACCAAGGAAGCAGGGATGGGGTAACAAGACAACAGATCCAAGCTGGGCTGGCCATGGGGGTCCCTGCCTCAGGGGCCATCACCAGGACCAGCGGACAGCTCCTGGGAACTCAGACCAGCACCCGGCAGGCTCAGCGGTGGGGGTTCCACCAGCACAGCAGAGAACTTGGTGTCACCGAAGGCCTCATTCATGCGCGTCTCGAAGAAGCGCTGCAGGCCGATGATGGACTGCACGTCAGCCTTGTCCTGGGCCCGGGCAAAGAGTGGATAGATGGGTCCTGGCTCTTCACCGCTACAACCTCCCTACCCCCATTACCCCAACCCTCAAGCTCACCTCAGTCAACTTGTTGAACTGCTTAAACATGCGGCCCACATCCTGGGCAAACTCCTGGGGGGAGCTGTAAGGGGGTGACAACTTCTCCTGAAGGCGCGCACGAATCAGGGTCAGGTCCAGGGTGCCACCAGGCTGATCCTGCAGGCAGCAATCACGGGCATTAGGTGAGACCAGCAGCTTCCCCTTCCCCCTCCTCTCCCATCCTGGGACTCACCAGAGAGAAGGTAGCGTCAGTAGCCAGCTGGTGCAGGGGACGGCAGGGTTCATGGCAAAACAGGGCCAGCAGGACTCGCTCACATTTCTAGACAGTACAAGGGATGTCAGAGCTACAGGAGGTGAGAGTTAAAGCTGCTGGCCACCTTCACCTGACTAGCTCAACTCTCACCCGCTGGTTGGCTGGTGAGAGCTTGGCCACCACACCAGTGCTGTCGGCACCATCCAAGCTGAGGCTGCCATCCTCCTCCTTCAGGTCAGGGAGCACGTGGCAGAGTGAGCAGCTCCACTCCTCCCTAGGGTGAAGAGTGTAAGTGGATGCACAAGACCCCACCCAGCCTTTCACACACTCTGCCCAGACCCCACTCAGCTCCACACACCCTGGGACATCCTGAAGGGCAGGCAGGTGACAGTCCAGGTGGAAGCAAAACTCGCACTGGTTGCACATGACCAGGTCGCCTGGCTTCTGACAGACGCGACATATAGTGGCACTGTCATCCAGGGTACCGGGTACGCCAGCTGGAGCAGAAGAGCCCTCAGGAGCTACCACCTCCAGGCCTGAGCTGGTGCTGCCACTGGGTGAGGCCAGACGGGGGCCTTCAGCACCTGGGCCCTCTGCCAGAGCCAGCAGCACAGGCTTGGTCTCAGGGCCCTCAGGGGGAGCAGGAGGGGCTCCGATGGCTGCCTCTGTCTCTTCCTCCTGCAAAGGTAACAGGTGCTCGATGAGCTCCAGATTTAGGCAGCAGATAACATCTTCCAATCTTCCAGAAGACCCTTGGGACAGACTTACCTTGACAATGGCCATGCCAGGCAGGGGCGGGGCGCCAGGTGTCCCTGGGGGCGCAGTCCCAGGCTGGCCAGCAGCTGCAGCGGCAGCCCCTCGCTCGATCACAATGAGGTTGTAATCTTCGGTGGTGCTGCCTGGGAAGACCTTGAAGACTGGTGGCTGGCTGTCAGCTGTGAGGTCCAGATCCAGGCGTTCGAGGCTCACACGTGGCACCTTACGCATGAGGCCGCTCACCTCGCCCTCGCCCGAGCGGGACCTGTAGGTGCACCTCAGTGTAAGCCTCCTCCCCCTTCCCAATCTGCCCACCCCCAGGGAATTGCCACACTCACCGCTTCACACCTGACACATGGGGCTCTGCACTTGTGTAGGGATCATCTGCTCAGAAGATGGAAAAAAGGGGAGGGCAGGTTGGGGCAGAGACAAGGAAGTGGGACACACTCACCCACAAGGTAGGCCCACTCACCTGACCCGAAGCCATAGCCTTCTTGCACATCCATGGGCTAGACAGAGCAGAACAGAGGCCCTCAGAGGGCTGAGTGTCCACAGAACCCCATGCCTGCCCCTTGCCTGGTTCCTCTCCCTGCTCACCTGGCTGCTTCCAGAGCCCTGCTTGCTCAGAGGTCCTGGGGCTCTTGGAGGGGCCATGGGTGCAGGGCCTGTTGAGTTGGTGCCAGGACGTTCTGCCACAATTTTGCCTGCAGGAAAGAGAAAAATCAGCCTAAGATTCAGTGCCTACAGTAGTAACCAATAAAATGGGGCAGAGACGAGACTAGGACCCACCAAACGCCTCGGCACTCTTGGTCCAAGCATTGAGGTCCCACTGGAACTTCATCTCGCCATGTGGCTCAACAGGATCCACAATCATCTTGAGAGCCCGATGCAGCTGGAAGTAGATCTGGGGGTGGGATGGGGATGGTCCGTGAGCACACCACACTGGGCACCTCCTGGAGCCCATGGCCAGGAGCCCAGCACACACCAGCTTCTTGGACAGCAGCAGTGCTGTGTTGTTGTCACTCTCCAGAGCCCAAGAGGCAAAGCGCAGGATGTGCTCCTGGTGCTTCTGAATCTTGGTCATGGTCCAGTGCTGCCGTTCCAGGCGCTCCTGTTGCCCCTCCGTCACCTTCTGCAGGAAAGGTGAGATGAGGTCAGCAAGGAGCCAGCACCAGCAGCCAGTAGGGAGGACCCAGAAACCCTCTCACCTGCACAAAGCTCACCTGGGCATCATTGACCAGCACGCGGCCTCGCTTATTCAGCTCCTTCATGATCTGCAAAATGGCCATCTTGACGTCCACCTGCACACGCTTCTGCACATCAGACACCTGGCGGATCCTAGGGCAGGGCGTGTCAGGTCATGCCAGGTCTCCACCAGAAACCCCCACAGCCCTGGCACCCACACTTACGAGCTGCGGACCTCCTTGGTGTTCTTCTGCAGGGTGGCATGTTTGTCCCCAAGGCGCTTCACCAGGGAGGCCAGGAGTTTGCGCTGGTTCCTCACCGCATCCTCCAGGAACTGGTATCTAGAAGCAGAGGTGTCCTAGCCCTGAACCTGGAGAGGGTGGCACCCACCCACCCACCCACCGTGCCTCAGAACTCACTGGTGGTCTTTGTGGGCATTAAGCTGGCAGTCCCGGCAGGTGAGGGTGTCACAACTCTCACAAAACAGCACGAGGGGTTCATGCTTGTGCACGTTGCAATAGACTGTGCGTTCACCATCTCGAGACTTGGCTGGCCCTGGGGAGCACAACTATGAGGTAAGGCTGACCTTTGTCCTTGGCCACCTCCAACTGAGGTAGCAGACAGAGCTTGGGGCCTCATTCCATGCTTCTCCTGACATCTTGGGCCATCTACTGCAAAGAACCAGAAGGCTCATGGCCGTGGCTCAGTTTGTTCCCAGAACCTTCTGCCCCAGACTGACAGAGGAAAATCTCCCCTTCTTCCAGCTTCTGGGATTAACAACGTAAAGGGTAAAGACGGCAATCTCTATACCTCTGGCAAGATGCTCTCCACCATCCCACCACCCCCTCAACAGTTTCAATTCTACCAGAAACTTTTCCAGATCGGCATACACTCAGTCCTGCCTAAAAACCGCCATCCACTACACTGCCTCTCCCCCACTTGTGGTAACTTCTCTTCCCTGACACAAGAACACCAACATCTCTTAGAATCCATGGGACCACAAAAGGCCTTAGAAATCTGGTCAGCCAAGAGAAACAAGAACTCAGACCAGGGGCCAGCAGGTGGCATGGTGGTTGGGATGCTGGATTCACACATGGCTGACCATAGTTTGAGGCCCAGACCTAGTAGCTTGCTTTCACATCAAAATAGAAATAATAATGGCCAACCACGGTTCAACTCCTGGACCTGATGGCTTGTTTTCTCACTCCCCAACCCCTCTCTCTGGTCAAACTTAAATAAAGTTTAGTGAAACAATTATTTAAAGTAATAACAACAAATTAAGTAATTTTAAAAATGGGGTGGCAGGTCAGGTGACAGGGTGGTTAACGATGCTGGACTCCCACATGGTCAACCATGGCTTGAGTCCCAGACCTGGTGACTCGTTTTCTCACTTTCTTTCTCTCTCTCTCTCTTGCTGTCCCTCTCTGGTCAAATTTTTAAAATCAATCATTAAATAAATGGAAAGTTAAATAAAATAATCCTCTAAAAAGAAAAAAACCTCAGGGGCCCACAAGTGGCGTGGTGGTTAAAGGTGCTATATTAGACCTAGTGGTTTGCTCTCTCTGGTCAAAACTGAAAATGGTAATAAATCATTCTTTAAAAAAAAAAAAAAAAAAACTCAGACCAGGGATGCTGGAAACAGACCCACTTCTCTGGGACAGGATCCTGATGCTAACAGTAATGCCACCCAAAGGTCAACACACCAGTAAACACTAGAGTCCTCCACCCTGTGAGAACATTAATAGGCACATTTGTCCCTTTCCTCCCCAGTGCTAACTGGGCCCCTGCTATACCAACCAGGCCCAAAACATGCAGCCTCAGAGCACACGTGAGCCAGTCCTTGGCTTTCCGCAATGCTGCCCACTCTTGCACCCTAACCTTTGCCTAAAACCTCTGCAATCTAGGACTCCTATTCCCAGCATAAACCCCTGCCTATCTCTCCTGGCTCCTCATGCCCTGCAGGCATCACTTTTACCCCCATACTTAGAACACCACACTGTCTTCGGGGCTGGAAAGAACCACAGAAATCTCCAAGCCCTTTTTTCAATCTATAACCACAACTTATCCAGAACTTGACATCATTGACAATCTAAGGGTCCCCAAAGCTTATCAAGAAGCCTTGTCAGAAACCAGCAGTTAGCATAATGGCTATGTCGCTGGACTCCCACATAGTCAGCCGCGGTTCGCGCCCGTGTGCGTGCGTGCCCAAGATCCTGAGAGGAAAATGGAGAAGGGATTGCGGCGGGACCACCCCCCCTGGGGAACGATTTCTCGCTTTCTGTCTCTCTGTCGAGCGCATGCGCCCTATAGCGAAAACCTCTCAAAAAAAAAAAAAAAATAAATCCTTGTCAGGCCAGCCAGTGTCTTAGTGGTGAAGAGGGCTGGATCTCAAATGGCCAACTGCAGAGTCCCAGATCCAGTAACCTAAAAAACACCTCACCTATGTGTGCTCACCCAAAATCCCGAGTGAAGTTGGGAAGGGCTAAGTTAGATCATGGCCATCCTCCATGGGTGGGAGGATGTGTTCTTGCTCCCTACCTCTCCAGGGAGCACATGTACACTCCAGCAAAAATGAAAAAGAAACAGTTCCCCATGCCACACTTTCCTAAGCATTTACTTTCCCGATCGCTCTTAAACCAGGTGCCAAGAAACATAAGCCAGTAAGTCCCTTACGTCTTGCCTTTCCCTTCCTACTTCCATGCTCTTCACCACCAGGGATCCGTTCTCTCTGGTTCCCTGATGAGTCTCTGCAAACCCTTCGAGAGTCCCCTGTGCCCTCCCTGCTTGTGCTTTTTCCTATCCCACCCAGACCTCCCGAAACCATACAGAGTAAATTATCAGCCTTTTATTTTAGTTTTGCTCTCTTCAGGGGTGACTCCATCCCTAAAAAAAAAAAACCACCCCAGGATCTGTCCATCCGTCCAACCACCATTACAAACAGTTAAAAACAAAAGCCACTCCACCAGATTCTGCCCTCTAACTCACCAGTGGAGCGCACAGTATGGTCCTTGGTGTACTTCACCCGCTGGTGAGCCTCCACGCACGTCTCACACAGCGGTTCCATGCACATCTCACACAGCGGCTCAGAGCATTCCACGCAGTAGCTAGTAGCTGGAGCATTATCCTCACAACTAGTACAACACTGTCAAAAGAAAACCAAAACAAACACAAGGTCAAAATAGGCAGTACAGGGAACCAGCAGTTAGCGTAATGGCTATGTCGCTGCACTCCCACGTAGTCGACTGCAGTTCGCGTACCGGACCCGGTGGCTTAAAACTCACGCCTGGCACGTGTGCGTGCATGCCCAAGATCCCGAGCGGAGAATGGAAGAGAAGGGATTGCGGCATGGTCATCCCCTCTGGGGGGTGATTTCTCGCTTTTTGTCTCTATGTCTCTGTCTGTCTGGCGAGTGCACATGCTCTATAGCAAAAACCTCTCCAAAAAAAAAAAAAATAGACAGTACAAAGTGATACATCTGCACCTACATCCCACAGATGCAACCTGAGACTATGTGAGACCACTGACCAGCCTATAGGCAGCCAGGCTCCTCCTGAGCAGATGACCCCTCTTTCCATAGCCAGACGTTTTGTGGCGACCCCTGGGTGAAGACTAACCTGGTTGGCATCCTGGGCATCCGTAGCAGCCTTGCTGCCACTGTCACGCATGAAGTAATTCTCCACGATGTCTTTGGAGAAGCACTGCTGTTTGCACACAGGACAGTCCACCACTGCCAAGAATACAGATGTGAGACGGCTACATGCTCGCACTCGGGATGCAAAATCTCCAACACCATCCCACCCTAGACCAGGCCCTACCCTCCGTGAACAGTTTCTCCAACTAGAGTCAGACACTTCATCTCAGACCTGGCCCAGAACCCACTCCCCGCGCCCCACCCTCTCGCCCAGGCGTCCCCCAGTCTCCGCGCCGAGCCGAAATCAAAGGATGTGGGGCGGGGGAGGGGCGGCCCCGGTACTCACCCGCCCCAGCGCCGCC